ATGCAAATGAGGGAGGAGGGCTCACCGCAGGCCACGGGCACCAGGCGGGGCGGGACGTAGCGCCGCCCTCCCCCCAGCCCCGGGGCTTTGGCTCCGCCCCCTTGGCCTTCGCCGGCGTCATCCTCCTCCTCCTCCTGAAGGACACGCCCACTCAGGCCACGCCCACAACCCAACCCCCTTCAACCACGCCCATTTAACCCCACCCATTCATTCTCGAAGCCACGCCCATTTTAACCTTAAACCCCACCCCTTTTACCCTTAAGCCACACCCCTTTTAACCCCTTCAACCACACCCACAGATCCCTTGAAACCCCACCCCTTTTGCCCTTAAGCCACGCCCCCTTCTGACAAACCACACCCAATTCCACTCAAGCCCCGCCCACTTTAAAACATCAAGCCCTTAAACCACGCCCACCACAATTCAACCCCTTAAACCCCACCCCTTTTGCCCTTAAGCCACGCCCCCTTCTGACAAACCACACCCAATTCCACTCAAGCCCCGCCCACTTTAAACATCAAGCCCTTAAGCCACGCCCACCATTATGTAACCCCTTAAACCCCACCCCTTTTGCCCTTAAGCCACCCCCATTAAACACACACATTAATTCTTGAAGCCACACCCACAAAGCCATCAAGCCACGCCCCAATTCCCTTCAAGCCCCGCCCACCTGACCGATCAACCCCACCCATAACACAACAAAGCCACGCCCACTTCCCCATGTATACCCCACCCATTTAACCCCTTAAGCCCCGCCCATTTTCACCTCAAGCCACGCCCACACCCCAAAACCCCTCCCCTTCCCCCTTAAGCCCCGCCCTCACCTGCGCCGCCATGTTGGAAGGGGCGGGGCGGAAGCTGAGCGGATCCTCGGCACCTGGGGGGTGATTGACAGCTGTCAATCAAACGGGGTGATGGCAGAGGGAGGGGCGTGGCTTAGAGGGGGCGGGGCTCGCACTGACCACGCCCTCCCGAGGCCGCCGCCCTCAGCAGCTTCTCCAGGTGGTACTTGAGGCGCTGCTCCAGGGGGCGGAGCTTCTCCAGCACCTGCAAAAGGGGCGGGGCTTCGGCTGGGGGCGGGGCCAGGGGACAAAACGCTCCAAAAATCCCAAAGTTGTCCCAAAAATCCCAGCCAGGAGCCCCAAAATCTCATCCAGGATCCCAAAATCCCCCCAAAATTTCCCCAAAATTCCCATCCAGGAGCCCCAAAATCCCAAAATTTCCCTCCAGAATCCCAAAATCCCCCCAAAAATCCCATCCAGGAGTCCCAAAATCCCAAAATTTCCCTCCAGAATCCCAAAATTTCCCAAAAAATCCCAGCCAGGATCCCCAAATTACCCCAAAATTTCTACCCAGAATCCCAAAATTCCCCCAAAATTTCCCTGTAGGATCCCCAAAATCCCCAAATTTCTCTCCAGAATCCCAAAATTCCCCCAAAATTCCCATCCAGGATCCCAAAAATTCCCCAAAATCCCACCCAGAATCCCCCAAAATCTCAAAATTTCCACCCAGGATGCCAAAAATTCCCCCAAAATCCCCAAAAATCCCTTCCAGGACCCCAAAAATGCCCCCAAGGACCCCAAAATTTCCCCAAAAATCCCTTCAGGACCCTCCAAAATTCTCTAAACCCCCCAAATCTCCTAAAATTCCCCAAAAATCCCACCCAGGATCCCACAATCCCCCCAAAATCCCCCTGGGACCCCCCAAATTTCCCCAAAATGCCAAAAATTCCCCCCAAAATCCCCCTGGGACCCCCCCAATTTCCCCAAAATCTGCAAAATTCCCCCCAAAATCCCCCTGGGACCCCCCAAATTTTCCCAAAATCCCCGAAATTCCCCCCAAATTTCCCCAAAATCCCCCCAAATTTTCTCAAAATACCCGACATTACCCCCAAAAACCCCCTCGGAAAATTCCCCAAAAATCCCACCCAGGATCCCACAATCCCCCCAAAATCCCCCTGGGACCCCCCAAATTTCCCCAAAATGCCAAAAATTCCCCCCAAAATCCCCCTGGGACCCCCCCAATTTCCCCAAAATCTGCAAAATTCCCCCCAAAATCCCCCTGGGACCCCCCAAATTTTCCCAAAATCCCCGAAATTCCCCCCAAATTTCCCCAAAATCCCCCCAAATTTTCTCAAAATCCCCGAAATTACCCCCAAAATCCCCCTGGGACCCCTCAAATTTCCCCAAAATCCCCCCAAAATCCCCCTGGGACCCCCCAATCTCCCCCTCCTCACCACTCTGGTCTCCAGCAGCCGCTCCAGGGCCCCCCCCGAGTTGCTGAGGGAGCCCCCCCGGGTTTTGGAGCAGACGAGCAGGGCCAGGTCCTGCAGGTAACTCAGGAGCGCCTGCGAGCGCACCTGCAGCAGCGACACCCCCTGCTGGACGGGAGGACCGGCTGGAGGACTCCGGAAAACCCCAAATTTCACTCAAAAATTTGACCCAAAATAACCCAAATTAGGCCCCAGCAGAGGCTCCCCCTAGTGGATGGCAGGACTGGCTGGAAGACCCCGGAAAACCCCAAATTTCACCCAAAAATTTGTCTTAATTTAACCCAAATTAGGCCCCAGCAGAGGCGCCCCCTAGTGGATGGCAGGACTGGCTGGAGGACCCCAGAAACCCCCAAATTTCACCCCAAAATTTGACCCAAATTAACCCAAATTAGCAATCAGCAGAGGCACCCCCTGCTGGATGGGAGGACTGGCTGGAGGACCCCTAAAAACCCCTCAAAATTGCCCCAAAAATTCGCCCAAATTTCAGCCTCATCAGAGGCGCCCCCTGGTGGACTGGAGGACCCATGGGAGGATCCCGGAAAACCCCAAATTTCACCCCAAAATTCGACCCAAATTAGCAATCAGCAGAGGTGCCCCCTAGCGGATGGGAGGACTCGCTGGAGGACCCCAAGAACCCCCAAATTCACCTCAAAATTTGCTCAAATTTACCCCAAATTTTGGTCTAAAGCAAGGACGCCTCCTGCTGGACAGGAGGACTAGCTGGAGGACCCCGAAAAACTCCAAATTCACCCTAAAATTTGGCTTAAAAATTGCTTAAAATTCCCCCAAAAAACCTTCAAGGACCCCTCCAAAAAATCCAGGAACCTCAAAATCCCATCAAAGACCCCAAAATCCCCTCAGGGATCCCCAAATTCCCCAAAAACTCCCCAAATCCCCTCAGAACCCCCCCAAAATCCCCTCAGGATCCCTTAAAATCCTTCAAATATCTCCCAAAAAAAGAGGGACCCCCAAAATCCCCTCAGAATTACCCAAAACTCCCAAAATCCCCTCAGAAACCCCCAAATCCCCTCAGGAATCCCCAGAATTTCCTCAGGACCCCCCAAATTCCCTCAGAGATCCCCAAAATCCCCTCAGAAACCCCCAAATCCCCTCAGGAATCCCCAGAATTTCCTCAGGACCCCCCAAATTCCCTCAGAGATCCCCAAAATCCCCGTACCCCCCAAAAAAAGAGGGACCCCCAAAAATCCCTTTAAAGACCCCAAAATCCCCTCAGAATTACCCAAAACTCCCAAAATCCCCTCAGAAACCCCCAAATCCCCTCAGGAATCCCCAGAATTTCCTCAGGACCCCCCAAATTCCCTCAGAGATCCCCAAAATCCCCTCAGAAACCCCCAAAATCCCTCAGTACCTCCCAAAACCCCTCAGGGATCCCCCCCCAAAAAAACCAGGGAACCCCAAAACCCCTTTAAAGATCCCAAAATCCCCTCAAGGATTCCCAAAAAAATCCCCAGGGACACCCAAATCCCCTCAGGATCCCCTCAAATCCCCTCAGGGACCCCCAAATCTCCTCAGAAATTCCCCAAATCCCTTTAAGATCCCCCCAAAAAAAAACCCCTCAGGACCCCCCATTCCTCCTCAAGGATCCCAAAATCCCCTCAGGGACCCCTCAAGAACCCGAAATCTCCTCAGAACTCCCGAAAAGCTCCCCAGATCTCCTCAAGACCCCTCAGAAACACCTCAGAAACCACAAACCCCTCTCAGAACACCCAAAATCCCCTCAGGGAACCCCAAAATCCCCTCACGATTCCTTCCCAAAATGCCCCCGGTACCTCCTTGGTCTCCAGCTGCCCTCCCCTCACTTTCCGCAGCATCTCTCGCCCGTGCGCCGCCACTTCCGCCGCCTGGAGAGGCCCAGAAGGGTGATTTTGGGGGAATTTGGAGCTTTTTTGGGGTTTTTGGGGTTTTTTTTAGGGTCTCACCTGCGCTCGCAGCGCCTCCAGCAGCGCGACCGCCTCGGACGCCGCCATGTTGGAAATGAGCGTGAGGGGAGAGGGCAGCAGCCAATCAGAGCGCGAGAAGCGCTAAGAAATCCCGCCCACACCCGGAAAAGCCGGAATGAATGATTGACAGGCTAGCAAACCAATCAGGGCGCCGATACGAGAATAACTGACCAATGGAAAAAGAGGAAGGCGGAAAACACGCGCCCCGCCTTGAAGAGGGAGCTTGGCCAATAGCAACGACAGATTTCATGATTGACAGATCCGTCGACCAATAGGAATGGAGAATTTACTCAAGCGTTTCCAACACTTGGGACTTTCCAGCGACCCCAAAAATTCCAATTTTTCCCCCCCAAAATTCAATTTTTTCGCCCCAAAAAATCCCCTTTTATCACCCAAACCCCTCTAAATTCTGCCCGCCGTCACAGAAATTCAATTTATTCCCCCAAATCCCCTGCTCGGCCATAATTTTTTTAAAATTTTTGTTGATTTTCACCAAATTCCTCCTGGAATTTCCACATTTTGAAGCAGAATTTTCACATTTTTCCACCAAAAATCCCCAAATTTTCACCAAATTCTAATTCCATTTAAACTTTCCCGAGTTTATTCCAAATTTGCCCTGATTTTCACCCAAAATTTCCCATTTTTCACCCAAATTTCCCAGATTTTAACCTAAAAATTCCACATTTTTGACCCAAATCCCCCCATTTTTTACCCCCAAAATCCAAATTTCCTCTGTTTTCTACCTAAAATTCCACATTTTTAACCCAAACTTTCCACATTTTTAACACAATTTTCTCCTATTTTTCTCCCCAAAATTCTGTATTTTTGACCCAAATTTTCCACATTTCTCCCCCCCCCAAAATTCCACATTTTCCCCCCAAACTCCCCCATTTTTCACCTCAAAATCCCACATTTTTGACCCAAAATTTCCCACATTTTCCACCCAAATTCCCACATTTTCTGCCCCAAAATTCCACATTTTTGACCCAATCTTTCCACATTTTTTACACGATTTCCCCCCATTTTCTACCCAAATTTTCCACATTTTTAACCTAAAAATTCCAATATTTTAACCCAAATTCCCCCATTTTTCCCCCCTAAAATCCCACATTTTGCACCCAAATTTCCCAGGATTTTGACCCAAAAAACTTCCACATTTTTGACCCAAATTCCCACATTTTCCCCCCCAAAATTCCCCGTTTTCCCCCCTAAAATCCAACATTTTTCTCCCAAATCCCCCCATTTTTTACCCCCAAAATTTCACATTTTTGACCTAAAAAATTCCACATTTTTGACCCCACTTTTCCACATTTTTAACACAATTTTCCCCAATATTTCCCCCCAAAATTGTATATTTTTGACCCAAATGCCCCCATTTGTTACCCCCAAAATTCCACATTTTTGACCCAAATTTCTTAGGATTTTAACCCAAAAATTCCACATTTTTCCCCCAAACTCCCCCATTTTTTACCCCCAAAATTCCACATTTTTAACCCAAATTTCCCAGATTTTCAACCTAAAAATTCCACATTTTCCACCCAAATCCCCCCAGTTTTCTCCCCAATCTCTCCACATTTTTTGTGCAGATTTTTCCCCATTTTTCCCCCTAAAATCCCACATTTTTGACCCAAAAATCCCCATTTTTAACCCAAACTCCCCCATTTTCCCCCCAATATTTCCATATTTTTAACCCAATTTTCCCCCCAAAATTCCCCATTTTTCCCCCCAAAATTCCCCATTTTTAACCCAATTTCCCAAATTTCCCTTAAAATCCCAAATTTTCACCCGAAATCTCCCCAAATTTTGAAAAATCTTTCCAAATTTCCCAAAAATCCCAAATTTTCAAAAATCTCCCCAAGTTTCCCTTAAAATCCCAAATTTTCACCCAAAATCCCCCCAAATTTCCTTTAAAATCCCAAAATTTCAACCAAAATCTCCCCAAATTTTAAAAAATCTTTCCAAATTTCCCAAAAATCCCAAATTTTCACCCAAAATCCCTCCAAATTTCCCTTAAAATCCCAAATTTTCACCCCAAATTTTGAAAAATCTTTCCAGATTTCCCAAAAATCCCAAATTTTCACCCAAAATCCCCCCCAAATTTCCCTTAAAACCCCAAACTTTCACCCAAGATTTCCCTCAAAATCCCCAATTTTCACCCCAAATTCCCCTTAAACCCCCCAATCCCCCCCGGGTATGCAAATACATGCAAATGAGCACCTGGGAGTCGGTCAGCGGCAGCCAATAGATGCAGGGCGCCGCCTTGGTCTTGCGGAAGAGATCGTCCAGCAGCTTGGCCGGCGGCTCCTCGGGGGGCTTCTCTGGGGGGGCGGGGCCGGGACACGCCCTCAGGGCCACGCCCACCCCGCCACAGGCCACGCCCACCCCGCATCTCCCCCTTAAACCACACCCACTTGTTATTAACAGGGGTTAAAGGGGGGTTAGGCCACGCCCACTCGGGGTTAGGCCACGCCCAGTGCGTGTTGGCAGGTTGGTGACGTCACAGGCCACGCCCACTACCCTTAAGCCACACCCACTTCCCATTAAAGGGTTTGTATTGCTGCTAAGCCACGCCCACTTCTTGTTAAATGGTTCATATTGGTGCTAAGCCACGCCCACTTATTAAATGGTTCCTATTGGTGTTAGGCCACGCCCACTCCTCCTTAAATGGTTCCTATTGGTGCTAAGCCACGCCCCCTCCTTGTTAAATGGCTCATATTGGTGCTAAGCCACGCCCACTTCTTGCTGAATGGTTCCTATTGGTGGTAGGCCACGCCCACTCCTTGTTAAATGGCTATTAGTGTTAGGCCACGCCCACTTGTCATTAAATGGCTATTAGCGTTAGGCCACGCCCACTCATTAAGTGGTTAATATTGGTGCTAAGCCACGCCCACTCCTCATTAAATGGCTATTAGTGTTAGGCCACGCCCACTCATTAAATTGTTAATATTGGTGTTAAGCCACACCCACTCCTTGTTAAATGGCTCATATTGGTGCTAAGCCACGCCCCCTCCTCGTTAAATGGTTCTTATTGGTGTTAGGCCACGCCCACTCCT